CAACGAGTCAGATTTCAAAAGAAAAGAAAAAATCGAAGTCAGATCACACGTGTCACGACGAAGAGTACCGAGAGGGAGGAAGGGTGAAAAAACGGGAGAAGGCTAGGGTTCTGATGAGCGGGGGCTTAAGCAATGTCGTTCTCCCCGGAACACGACGGACTTCAATCATGACTGTATCGAACTGAAAAGATAGCTTGTAATGCATTCCTCATCACGGTATGTTTTATTCAGGTAAGTAATATCTCGTCCGCATTCGAGCATAAGTTACACAATGCATCTCTATCATGGTTGTTCGAACACAACGCGTATTTATCATGATTGTATCGGATTCAAAACATAGCTTGAATACGTTCATAACCAGGGTGTGTTATGTTCGAGGTACGTAGTATTATCTGCCCTCGCACATAAAGCTTCTCTAACATGACTGTATCAGACCACAAACATAGCTTGTATACATTCAAGATCAGGGTGCATTATCTCGGAGATCTGCCTTCCAAGTCAACACATTTTTATCATGAGTCTATCGGATAATCGGACTAGAAAGATACCTTGTATACGTGCATGATCAGGGTGAGTTGTGTTCAGGGTAAGGAGTTAGAAGAATAATGTGAAAGAGGATACCGACAATGAGTATGCTAAGCGAAATTTGCCGATTGTTCCCAATCACAGATGGGAAAGACTGCAATAGAAATCCCCACCTGAGGAGAAGGGAGCGGAGGACGAGAAGAAATGTGGAGGCGAGAGAGAGGGAAGAGGAGTACCGAGGAAGAGAAAGGAGAGGGGGAGGAGAGACGAAAGCAAGACATTAGCTTTGACTGGTGGAGTTTGCCGATGATATAACCATCTTGGGCGTTGGCGCGCTCTGTTTATTTATCTCTAGTGATTAAGGCGAGCTCTCTCTCTCTCTCCCGCAACAAAGAAGGCAACGATGAACAAGAACAAGAAACGGCGAAGAGAAAAACGAACAAAACAAAACCGCACTCGGCACTGTTGCAACCGCCAACCACATGCCTCTTGCTGCGTTCTCCACACACGTGTCATATTCCTGGGAATCTGGGACCATCGAGATGATCCAAGAAATACGTTGTCAATCACCTATTGGCAATAGCCCTCTCTCTCTCTCTCTCTGTGTGACCTCCCATGACAGACTATGACGACAACGACAACCAATACTTACGATGAGAAAGAAGAAAATGACATAAAAAAAAAAACAAGAAGAAGAGGAATAGTGTTTAGTGAGAACAGCGGGCAAAGACTGCTTCTCGTACATGCATTCATGCATAAGCACTTCACTTCCGCACGGACAGTTTTGTAGTGCAGAAAATCACGAGCAAGCAAAAAAACATGGAAGGGTGCAACAGTGTAGTGCAGCAGTGTGCCACGTGGCGCGCTGTTGCACGTCTTTCTCTCTCTTCTTATATATATATATACATGTATATTAGGGTTCAGCCTCCTGATGAGTCGGTGAAACTCCGGCGAAACAGTTTGTCACAGCCCCTCCTTTGTTGTCCTCTTCTCCCTCGCTGCCGACGGTTTACCAAGCAGTTTTGTTTGTCGATATACATATCGTCAAAGAGCGGCCCGGTAAACCGTATATATGTACACACACACACACACACACACACACACACACACACACACACACACACACACACACACACACACACGATGGGGTGTGTGTATGACAATAAAGAAACGAACAGCGAGAAGCTGATAGGGAAGAAGTGAACCGTAAGGTGTGCAAGGCGAGAAACAATGAGGAAGAGGGAGGGACGGAGGGAGGGAGGAGGAGAGGAGAACGGACAAAGGGAGTTCGACAAGTAAGACAAAAGCAGAAAGATCGATGGAAAAGGCACAGAAAGTGAGATCAAGTCCCGCTTCCACCCTGCCAAACCCTACTTCGTTGGTGCCGCGGCAACTCAGCACCTCCAAGCAATAGGCCCCACGCATATCGACTGTCCCTTTTCAACCCTGCCAAACCCTCAAGGCACCCACTTATACACGTAGTTAAAGAACGTGCGACTTTGCCAATTTTTTCTCAACATGCAAGCCCGCCAAAAATATAGAGTTCCAAATAAAAATGTGGGTGGGTCTGTCAGGAAAGACGTGTTCGTGTTGCCCGCGTCCCCGGACACCATGCCTGGTCCTATGCAATTGCCAGGGTCACCCGGTCTTTTGAGGGAAACCTCCAAGAAAAAAATTGAAATGTAGCACGTTTCTCAAACCTGGGGAAAACGTTTGGTACATGTGGGAGACAATCCTAAATAAACTGAAAGTCATCATCATATGGAAGAAAAACACTGAAGTTAGAAGGAAAATTGAACTTCTGATCAAAGTTGCAGTTTAAGAATTTTCTGTTGTACATGATGCTATTTTCACATCACCATCAATTATGGTCTGTGACCTTTTCGTCCACATCGTTTTACACTGCAATCCTGCTGATCCCAATGAACTTTTTGAAACACATTGGGCACAAATGATGGACGATTAACATAGAGACCTAGCTGGCGTCAACGTTACACAAAACCTCTTAAGAGCACTTCTACTATTAGATATCGAAGATCGCCTCCAAAAAGAAGGCAAAGAACTCGAAGATGTTGGTCTTATTCCACCACTCACGATAAGGCAACCCACCTTGCTGAACGGCCACGTCGCAGCGGAATTCCAAGACTGATCGATGATGAGATTTCATATGACAAACACGAACTGCAACGGACACTGGTTGTCAACCTTCCGCTTCTCAGACCATCGCAATACGCACTATTTCGACGAGTTGTAACCGCTGCAAAAAATAATGAGCCACTTTGCCTCTTTGTTGATACTCCTGCAGGCACTGGAAAAACTTTCTGCTTCAACACTATCCTCGCACATATACGAATGCAAGACAAAGTTGCTCTTGCAGTTGCGTCGAGTGGCATCACAGCAACTCTCCTCGCTGGAGGTCGAACATTTCACTCTCACTTCAAAGCTCCGCTAACACTGACGGAAACCTCTACTCTAGACATTCCAAAACAAAGCCCGCTTGCTGATCTCATTCGCATGGCAGTCACTATTCTTTGGGATGAAGCTCCCGTGATCAACAGATACCAAGTTGAAGCCATGGACAGAACGTTTCAAGACATTTGTTCCTCCACCTTACCTTTTGGTGGCAAAGTTATGGTCTTGGGGGGTGACTTCAGACAAATTTTACCTGTTATCACCAAAGGCACCCGCGCACAAACAATTGCCACATGTCTGAAGTCTTCACCACTTTGGGAGCGTTTCCAAACAATGCGCCTCACCGAAAACATGCGCGTCCTTGCACTGAACAACACCGCCGAAGCTCATCAATATGCTCAATGGTTACTCGCCCTCGGCAATGGTGATCTGCAACTACCGGACCCAGCATCACCCAACAAGATTACCCTTCCATCTCACCTATGCCTCCACAGAGGAACAATGGATCTTATCGGATGGACGTTTCCTAATCTAGCAACGAATTGTCATAACCCAAAATGGCTCGCTGAGCGCCTCATTCTAGCACCAAAAAACAAAACCGTTTTGGCCCTGAACTCAATAATCCTCTAACAATTTCCTGGCTCTCTTATCACATCCCTCAGTGCCGACACACTCCTCCCGAACGAAACATACCCTGACATCTCCATCAACACTATTAATTCTCTAGACCCACCATCTCTGCCACCACATATTCTCCATCTAAAAAAGGATGCTCCCATCATTCTTTTACGCAACATCGCAATGAGAAACGGTCTTTGCAATGGGACGCCACTAATTCTTGACTCTATAACCAACAACCGCCTGTTACACATACGCATCTTACCGTCGCTCAAACCTGCTCTGCTCCCGCGAATCCTTCTTTCAATCACAGATCACACAAGTCCCTTTCCGTGGCAAAGACGACAATTTCCCGTACGCCCGGCCTTCGCAATCACAATAAACAAATCCCAAGGACAATCCATCAAACACGCAGGCATTGACCTCCGACAACCAGCCTTTGCCCATGGTCAGCTTTACGTCGCAGCGTCCCGTGTCGATGACCCCTCTCGCATCCCATTCGCCCTCCCGACTGAACTTGATCAAACAATAAATATTGCATATAAAGAAATTCTTGCATAATCTATCTTCAACAATGCATTTTTCGTTTTTTTTTTTTTTTTTTTTTTTTTTTTTTTTTTTTTTTTTTTTTTTTTTTTTTTTTTTTTTTTTTCCTCCTTTTTTTTTCCCCCCTGACGTTACTCCTTCCATCTATTTGTACATTGTGCAAGCACTCCAGCGACACAAACTCGCGCCAAAAAACTCAAGACCGCATCCTCCGACTCAACAACAACAACGCCGACTATCACCAAAGAACTCAACACTACATCCTCTGACCCGACAGCTCCCGCTTCTACCTTACCGGCAAATGCACCCTCCCAAGCAACTGCTACTACGTCAACTGTCACAACACAATCTTCCCCATCTGAACAAACTACTCCAACTCCTTCCCTCCCCATCCATGCAACAACTGCTGCTGCATCGACTATCACGACACAATCTTCTCCATCCCAACAAACCACTCCAACTCCTTCATCACTGTTAACAGATCCCTCAATTCTTGAACGCCAGGGTCTAGATGAGCTTGCACTTAGCCAGCTTGATATCCCTACACCCCGCTATCAATCACACTATAGCTCTGGGGACAATGCTGACGAGTACACAAGATGGGATGCTTGGCATCACGTCCTTCACACTGACACTATTGAACACATAATCGACCAAATTCTGTGGGAAGACTTCCTTCTCACAGACCATGCTGCTTTCTCCCCCTCTCTGTACACCTTCTTCGCCACATACAAACACAACCGTGAACAAGAACTCAATCGACCTCTGCCCGCACCCTCCGTTGCGACCAGATTCACACAATCCAAAACCTTTCTGCTGCAACTTCTCCAACGTGACCACTACCGCACTACGGGTTCTCACACCGGCCTGCTTAAATACAGACACGACCGCATTATCGACGCTCACCACAAATACGCATTTATCAGTTCAACACAACCTACTCTCCCACCTCTTCTCCTTCCCACACACGAAACAGATCCTAACTGGTGGCGCCCCCTCGCACCCTGGGGATGTATGCGCGCAACTGCACTCATCCACGACATGTTGAGCTCATACCACACAATTCCCATTTACAACATCTCACACGCTCCACGCACCTGGGAATACCTCAACGACCCCATTGTTGTCTTTCATCGTGGAATGCAGTCCCAACGTCCTCCTTTCCCTCTCTACAGGACTGATATTGTTTGCAGGGCTCTACGACTTCTCCACGCCCAGGACTCCTCTGGCCGCTCCGTCTGATCCTCGCCTCCGAAGAAACAGCAACAGCGCTCGGGTCAACAGAGAGACAAGCGACAGCGAGAAGACCGCAAGGCTCGAAGCATACAACCGAACTACGGGAAGTGCAAAAGACAGAGAGAGACAAAAGGAGTAAGACACACATGCGCACACACACAGTTGTCCTGACAGGAGGAAGGAGGAGGCATGAGTTTGGGTCAACAGAAGATAGCAAGGCTGAGATGAAACTGTGGTATCGGGGTCTACGACCAAACTACAGGCAATGGAGAACAGAGAGCGAGAAAGTGGCAGAGAAAGAAAGAGAGGGAGAGGGAAAGAGAGAAAGAGACAGAGAGAGAGAGACAGACAGAGGGAGTGAGAAAGAGAGAAAGAGAGAGACACAAAAGGAGTAAGACAAACACAAAGACAAAACTGTTGCAACAGGTAACATGACAAATACATGTCTCATTTTTCCGGTCGATGTCGAATACCAGGCTCCTGCATCTTCGGATCTCTTCACCCAATTCTCTCACTGTCTCTACCCTTTTCGCCGCGGGCGGAGCCGCGGCGGGTCCACTTGTTCAATCTAAAGGGCAGAAGACAACATACCTAACACAGAAGGCTCCACCGGCAAGAAAGCACCGACTAGAGGCAGCATAGTCCGAAAAAAGCTTGGAGAGCCCTCCGAGTCAGCCCACAAGCACAGCAGCGCTGGCACTTCTATTCCTCCCAAACAACACGCTCACACCACCACTATCTCTATCACTCCATGGCTAAACAGTCCCCATCTGCTGTCTAGCCTCTGCAGCGTACAGAGTACCATACTCCCAAAGACCACAAGATCATCACACCACACCAGGACGGCTACTGCTTAAAACACCCTGGAAGTCACCGTTTCTTCCATGTGCTCCAAAAGAGCAGCCCATGGGAATGGCACCCACAGCAAACACTCTCTGCACCTCGCCAAGATGCTGTGCCCAGAACTCCAAGCATACATTCACAGAATCTCCATGCGACACCAGGAGCACTACTGCATAAAACACCATGGAAGCATCACCATCTTCCATGTGCTCCAAAAGGGCAGCCCATGGGAGTGACACCCACAGCAAAGACTCTCTGAGCCTCTTCGCGAAGATGCCATGACCATGACTCCAAACAACATTCCCGCCCAAAAACATTGTGGTCACCCACAACCATGCCTTCATTAACAGACAGCCCATGATCTACAGCACGGCCAAGAATTAGGCCATGCATGAATAAACAACAACCAACGAAATATCTGACCACAAAAGATTCGCTCGCTAGTACGAGCCCGTGTGTATGTGCCACTGTGTGTGTGTGTGTGTGTGTGTGTGTGTGTGAGAGAGAGAGAGAGAGAGAGAGAGAGAGAGAGAGACAAAGACGTATGTGTGGCCACATTCACTACCCATGGGAATTGGCCGCAGTGCACCTTTCACCTTGTAAGAACGAATGCAAAACACAATGGAGCCCACTGTTGTCAAACAAGAATGAATACAAAATGCAATGGAGCCCACCGTTGCCAAACGGCACGCCTGCGTACCTTGAATACATGCGGAGCCAACAGCAGCGGATATCCGCTGTGTTCCCCTGAACATAACGCACCCACATAATGAATGTAAACCATCTTTCTGTGTTCTGTACAGTTGTGATGGGGGTGCACTGTGTTTTAGGGACGGTGGTCGTCAAAAGCAAACCAGTACCAGAAACCAATGCCTTTCCACTCTGCACCTATTCAACTTCACATTTCTCAGTTTGTTTATTCCAAGCAAAGCCTAGGCAGCATTCCAAACACTTCGCTCGTCAGTGTTCTTCTGTCAGTTCTTTCTCAGGTTTAAAATGCATAAGAATATAAGAATACGCTCCTACACGCCCTGACTACTTGTTTCGTCGCTTCCCTCCACTCTCTCAGATTTCCATTGATGAACCTCTAACTTAAAAGCAAACAACTTAAGAAGAAGCATGCATCAGTTCTGACTGTTTCGCTCACACTTTATTCATCTCCCTCTCCCTCCCACGCCCTAGAAAAGTACAACAAAGAATCCTTTCCCATTTTACTATCTGAAATGTTGGTCTCCAATGCTGCACCCATGTACATGCAAGACCCTAGGTACACTACACAATTCTCATCAGTTTGGCAATGTATATCCTCCTGCAGTCTCTTCTTCTTGTTGTTGTTCTTCTTTTTCTTTTTTTTTGTCTACCCTCTGGTCTCCAAAACGCGCATCCACAAAAACTACATGCATGCTAAATGCAAAAAGAAGCTTACTTCTTTGAAGGCAAAGCTCAAATATAGACTTAGATTTCATCATACACCCTCTATAGAGACCTACAGAGAGAGAGACCTATAGATCAGCCCTGGGATATGACTACCCTGCAGTCTCTATAGCTCTGCACCTACCGAATGTTACAGACCTATAGAGATGAACCAACCCACAAACCAACACATAACCAACCCACGAACAAACCCACAGAGAAAAGGGAGGGAAGACGAGGAAAGGAAAAGACAAAAAACAAATGCAAATGTAATACCTGTCACCAATATCAATTGGCTGTGTCAAACGAATCTTCACAAAGTTGATACAAGGGAACATTAGTCCTCTACCTACCTACCTTTGACGGCATGGGGTGCATTACCCAGGCCTCTTCTGCACCCAATGTCTGCACAACCTGAACCATTCATGATTACCAGCTTATGACTGTCACGCAACTCTCACCAGCAGAGAGACAAAAAGAGGACGCAACCCACCACACTCGCTGATTATGGACCGAGTTAGTTGAAAATGAAAAGGGACCACACAAGCTCCATGCATTATGTTCCCACCATCCACCATCCATCATACAGAAAACATAAACTTCTATGGCACTTCACTACCGCTCACACAGAGGCACACTGCACCTATACACCGCACACTGAAGAACACACACATGAAAGAACACTCTCTAGCTGTTACTGACACCTGGGTGCTCGCATTGCTGCAGCACAATGGAACACCCAATCGGTTTCATGTACATTCAACGTTGTTTGTTGCAACGCCCCCGCCCACGCCCGCACCCATGTAAACTTATTCACATTCGCATATAGCCTTATCCACATCCGTGCACCCTGGTTTACCCAAACATATCGCTGCGCTGTCGACTGAAAGTCCCCCAAGATGCAAACAATCGTCCGTGCCCGGGTGCAAGTCCTCTCTGCAAATGCATACTCCACTCGACACATGCATCCAGACACAGACGTCAGCAACCAAGAATCAGAAAGTTGTGCTAAACATAACCATTACATCCACGTGTGCGATGGACCTTGGAACAACTGCAGGTGAGCGGAATACCAATAATGCTCTCCCTCCATTACCATGGTGTTCGCCATCAGCATGATGGCACTGGCATGGACCTGCAGGCTTCTGACATCCTTAACTGACCCATACCTGCCACGTCAGCTCTCAGCACAAAGTGGATCCAGGATTGATCAGCACCTGTCGCACATTAGGGTGATCCCAAGTTCATTCATCCTCGGCCTCAACCGACTTCAAGCTGCCAGCTGTTCTCCTGTGAAAATCCCCCTTCTCCGAGAAGTCAGCAAGAAACAGCCCACCAGCCTCTTTATGCAGGTTGTCGACAGGAGAAACCCAATGAGCCTTGTGGTCTGCATCCCCAGGAGACCAGAGGTCACTCTGTTTTCCCAACACATTGTTAAGTTGACAGGAGAAACCCCATATGCCTTGTGGTGTGCATCCCCAAGAGACCAGAGGGCACTCCGTTTTCCCAACAATGTGGCTGCACCTATCTTTGCATCGTGTTGATCAGTCCGATACTCGGCAGGAAAGCTTCACGAGTTCACACATAGCACACGCACATCAACAGATCAGTCCACATATAGCTCATGCACATCAACACATGAGTACACATATAGCTCATCCATATAGACTCAAGCCCACATATAGCTCATGTGTATAGACAAGTCCACATGTAGCTATACAAACTCAAGTCCCCACATATAGCTCATGCGTATAGACAAGTCCACATGTAGCTCATAAACTCAAGTCCACATATAGCGCATGCATATAGACTCCATTCCACATATAGCTCATGTGTACATAGCTCGTGCATATACACTCGAGTCCACATATAGCTCATGTGTATATAGCTTATGCGGATAGACTCCAGTACACATAGCTCATGCATATAGACTGCACATACACCTCATGCATGCCAACAAGCCCGCACGTAGCACATGCACAAAGGCACATGGCAGAGATGAGCAGATGGTCTACTCCATGGACGGAAAACCATATCCTCGCCTAGCTGGCCAAGCTGACACCAGCAGCAGCATGCCTGCAAACATGAGCCTGACCTGGGACTCCGTGCAGCTCTCTGCCAGAAATAGACAACTAAGGACCCTTGCCTATCCTTCGAGAAGTCTTTCACACCTGAAAACATGGCGAGCAGTTCCGATCAGCCACACCATCTCATCACACCGCTACCAGACCAACCTTACGCTAACACAAGCTACCGCCACTGCTTAATCAGCACATAGACAACGCACAGGTCAGGTCCTGCCTCAACAGGCCCATTCTTTTGCCAAGAACTTGCACTCCACTGGGGGAAGTTTGCAGGTCCAAATGACACCACCGTCAATTTTCATACGAACATCTCTGCTCTGCGCACGTTCCATGCCCTACGTTTCCCTTCCGACACCCATCCCAAAGAATACCCCCAAGTAATCAGACCCAATGTAACTTCCCACTCCACAGTCCACTTCCTTCCCCTTACCTCACTCACATCTCTGTCCACAACTTTTCACCCTACGCTAAACCAACTCCCTCCCACTTACCTCCTCTACCCAAATCCAACAATTCCTCATCTGCAGAACCATCCACTCCACCATAAACACCGCAACTACACAACCCTATGCGAACGGCCAAACAGCCCAACGGGAAGCATTGTTCTTACAGCCTATCCCCTCCTTCCTTCCAGAGAGGGTTCCGTCTCCGCACACTCGAGCTAAGACTCGAAAACCAGCATCGTTTCAGACTATTCATTAATGTACATCCACCCCCCCCCAAAAAAAAGGCTTCAATCATCTGTTTCGCCATCATACACGAGACCCCTCATCAAAGTCACAACTTTACCACAACCGTATCGATACCTCAAACATACAGGCTTGTACACGGCAACACGGCTTCTCCAATCTGGTCACGTCTGTGGACCCACTGCAGGCGGCCAGTCATAAACACAGCAAAAAGCAGGGAAAACCTCAAAGCACCACCATCTTTATCCCATGCACCGCAGGCAGCCAGTCAGAAAGGCAGCACAAAAAAGGAAGCCTGGAGACCGCTAACTTGGATTCACACCAGCCTCTGCCATTCTTGCAAGACCATCCATATGCACCGGCCCTTCTCCCTTCATCATCTAGACTAGCGCACCACCATACAACTGCAATGTTGTGGCTTGCTGCCTTGGCGAGGTGTCGTCTAATCCCCTTACAAATGCAATTTCATGACTTGCGCATTGGCAAGGAAATGCAGTCTAATCCCCTTTACCGTTGATGACACTTGAACTGAAAGATGAAACTGACGTTGAATGAGCGTTGTCAAGTCTGAACGTATCATCCACACCGCACCACCTTCAAGTACGACAGTAGCAGAGATGAGTTTGGCACAAACGAAGTATTCACTGCATTTCATGGCACGGCGCAGTGCGACACAGCCGGGCATTGCCTAATTCGCTGCACATCACAGCATCAGCCATGTGTGCAAAGCACATTACAACATAACGCACAGTGGCCAACTGAGGACAGCATGATACAACACGATGTGGCCAAACGAGAACAGCATGACATACCACTCTGGCAAGCAGGCGGATGAAAAACACAGAGCCGCACCTCCACTGACACAATACAGGACCGACCCTGCCAGCTGAATATAGCACTTCCGCGTGTCAGAAACACAGAGCCGCATCTCCAAACACAGAGCCGCATCTCCACGTGACACAATATAGGACCAACCCTGCCAGCGGCGTATAGCACTTCCACGTGTCAAAGCATGACGCAGGGTGTGTCAAACACAGCATTTTGGCCAAACATACTCATGTGTCCAGAGTTTTCACTGCCCACGATTACCAAACCCCCGTAGAAACAACATGAAACAGGGTACAAAAGAACGGGGATTCCGGCATACTCATACTAGGGACTTCCCTGCATGCATCTTAGGGGGAATTACGACCAGAAGCAGTCAAGAAAGTCAAAGTTTGAGTCTGTCCTAAGTCGTTGCCACCTTCTTAACTCACCTCTGACGCGACACAAAGACTCTGAAAGAGCCTAACACCGTTGGAGATACTCGATCACCCACCCGCCCACCCATTACCGTCTTCCTCTGAATAGAACGCCCAGATGTTATAGTTGTATGTCGCTTCAGCCTCGATACGGGGATAATGTTCAAGCGTTCTATTCGGGGGAAGACGTTAGCATGAAGCAGCGAGAGCACACCTGCGGGCTCTCTCAACAAGCTTCACAGCAATTATTACCCTGTTTCCGTAAACATACTCTTTTTCTCCATCTACAGCATCGCGTGCCTCTTCCCTCTCCAGAATACCCAGCCTCTCATCAACCAGCGCTCCTTGCCAGCAAGAATATCAACTCTCCCACGTTAAGGCTGACAGTACGACGGCCCCACCATCTACGAGGACAATGCCAGCTCAGCCGAGGAGAAGGCCAACGCCCGCCAGAACCCCGTTCTGCACCTCAGCTGGTCGCAGCGTTACCATAGAGAAACGCCCTCCTTTCTTCCCAAGGAACGAAATACCGTCTCCTCCTCCTCCTCCACCTCGAGCTTTCCCTATTTTCCTCCTCCGAGGATCAGGCAGTATCTTCCATATCTTTAACTTGCGAAACGCTCACATAGATTCTTCACCTGCAGCGCATTCCTCTTCTGATCCTACGGCGTGCGAATCACATCGGAAGACATATGCCTCATCTCACCAGCTTCTGGAAAAATCACCCTCGACCAACCCCCCACTCGATTAAAGGCGAACTCGGATGAAGGCAAACCCTTAACATACACTCCGTTCTGAAGTCAATTAGCGAGACATGGGCCGAGTGGACTAAATATGGAGAGATTCACCTTAGCCGACATATGAACCGAGAGGACTACCATTGTGGCAGGTAGGTTCAAGTCATCGCCACCGTCCATCCTCTGTTCATTCTAACTCCTGCAGCAGCCACAGCATTCCTCCTTCGACGCTCACCTTACGCTTTAGGCTCTCACTTATCAAAACAGTCCGCGTAGAGATTTTCATGTCACGAAGAGAACAAGAACGGGAGAGAGAGAGACAGAGACAGAGAACCCCCAGCTACCGCCAAGGAATTAGCAAGGCCTTGAAGAGGAGATTTGAGATACATCGCTGTCCCACAAAACAATGAGAAAGACRGTTAAAACAGAGAAAAGGAACGGGAGAGAGAGACAGAGACAGAGACAGAGAACCCCCAGCTACCGCCAAGGAATTAGCAAGGCCTTGAAGAGGAGATTTGACATACATCGCTGTCCCAGAAAACAATGAGAAAGACGGTTAAAACAGAGAAAAGGAGAATGGGAGAAAAAGAGGAGAAAAAGGCGAAAGAGAAGAAAGAGAGGAAGAGAGAGAATCCTCAGCTCCCGCCAAGGAATAAGCAAGAGGCCTCACATCCGTGTCCTCGCGCTCATCGCTCAAAGAAATGGAACAGTACACCGCACTTTCGGCGATCTCCGTCTGTACAGGGCACGACGGGCAGGCGCTGGGCGGGGAACGAAGGGGGAAGGGGAAGGGGCACAGGCTAGAGAAGAAGGATGGACATCCCACATCCCATCCCATCTTAACCCATCATATGTTTCGCAAACAAGTCAAGGACGACGCATCAGCCTCAGCGTGCTATCAATGCTACCAATTCAGGCCCGGAGTGTAATAATGCTAACAAACACCATGTCTACGAAGCAGGACAATCAAGGGTTCCCTCCCTTCCCCTTCTGTCGGGCACGCCTACTAATTTCGGCATACTTACCCCCCATGAGCTCGAGCAACTCCTCCCATAGATCAGGATTCGGAACCGGCGGGCCACCTTTCCTCGCTGACGAGGGCGTCTGTTTGACCGACCGCCCAGTGATGAGGTCTGCACTACAAGCTGCCACGTACCACCATCCCGACGCAATCTCCTCCTTCAGCTGCGCGCTTCCCCAGCCTGCATAGCCGAAGTAGAACCTGAACGTGTCCGGTGAAGCCTCCTTTCTATGAACCAAGGATGTGGCATGCTCCATGCCCGCCGTACTGCCACAGTACACCCCCTTCATCACCTCATCGAACCCTTTGACGCCCTCGTGCCCATGGAGAACGAGAAAATGGCGGGAATCGATCGGCCCTCCTACGTGGACCACAGCGGAACCGAAGGTCTGCGCAATGGAGCTATGGAGCCCTTCCACTTGTCGCATCCGCATGGCTTTCGGCAGATTCAAGACCACGCCGAAAGGGCCATCGTTAGCGCCGCATCCCAACAGAAGAACGACGGATCGCTGAAAAATAGGGTAGCCGTCCAACTCCTCCGAGGCAATTAACACGCAGCCGGGCTCGGGTTCGAGAAGGGCGTGCGCCCACCGCTTTGTCATGCGCGCCGAGCTGATGGCTGGGACCGCCCCGTGAGCGCTGCTGCTTTCGGGATTGCCGCCGCTGCGCCTCGATGTACCAGACGAGGGAGAGGAAGAAGGAGAGGGAGATTGACCACTGCGATTGTGATCATCGTCCTCCGAGGAGGAGGAGGACAGCAACTCCTCTTCTTGCTCGCGCAAGACGAGTTGAGCACGATAAGACCTGTCTCTTATACACATCTAGATGTGTATAAGAGACAGGCTTTGTCATGCGCGCCGAGCTGATGGCTGGGACCGCCCCGTGAGCGCTGCTGCTTTCGGGATTGCCGCCGCTGCGCCTCGATGTACCAGACGAGGGAGAGGAAGAAGGAGAGGGAGATTGACCACTGCGATTGTGATCATCGTCCTCCGAGGAGGAGGAGGACAGCAACTCCTCTTCTTGCTCGCGCAAGACGAGTTGAGCACGATAAGACCGCCAGTCCACTTCGGCTAGCGAAGGAACGTCCTCTTCTTCTTTATCATTTTTGGAAGATCGCGACGACGACGACGAGGGCAAGGACTCTATAGTCGACGGCTGAGGGGGAGTGGGCTCAACGACATCTTCTTCCTGCTCGTCATCCTCCTCTTCATCCGGGGCTGGGTCGCCCGTGCTCCCGCCATCGCTCTTCGATGCTGCCAAACAAACTTTATGGTGTTTCTTCGTTCTTGACCAAGCGAATCCTGTCAGAGTACCCAGAGCCCCCGCAATCCAATCAATTGTCCAATTTACCAATCAAGCAAGCAAACGAGCGAGCGAGCAAGCAAGCAAGTCATCAATCAATCCAGCAAGCAAGGAAGCGCGAAGCAAATAATCAATCAATCAGTCGACCAATCGATCAACCACTCCAATCAGTCAATAAATCAATCAATCACTCGAGCAAGCACACAATCTAACTAAGCAGTCAGGCACGCGATGTAATCAAATACACAAGCAAGCAACCAAGCGCGCACACAACACGAGAGTGACCAAACGGTAGCCTTTGAATGATCAATCAATATCACGAAACTCGTGCAGCAGCAGTTCCATCAATCGATCAATCAACTCAAGATCCGAAAACGGAAGAAAAAGAACTGACAGACCCGGGAAAAATACGCGCACAAGTAAATTTCCAATAATACACACACAGTCTCACGCACGAGCATCATAACAACCATCACAGATTATGCATCCTCCCGTCCTCCTCTTGTTTGCGCTTGGTAAAACCACCCTCACACAAATACCCCCTCTCTTCCTCCTCGTGCTTGCGATGCTCTCTGCCTGTTTCATTTTTCTTAAACGGATTCCCTTTCTTCTTTCCCTTTCGCGCTCTCTCTTTCGGCCACTTGCATACTCGCTCCGCCAGCACAGTCCGCCCACCTCTTTACCCCTTTCTTTCCACCCACTCTAAAGCCTGCCCATAAATAAGCGAAGACCGCAGTGCTGAAGGTCGCCTTGCCGTCATACCCCGCCTCATGTCAACCCACTCTTCCGTTCAAATAGAGAGGAAAAGCTGATAGAACTACCTGACCAATAGGAGGAAAGACACATACACATACACAAATGCACTCTATGACGATACATATTGTCACACTATGAATCGCAAAGGCGGAAAAAGACGAAACAGAAAAAGGAAAGAAGGAACATGTACATATATCAGAGCCAAAGACGGCATCCATGCACACGTACAGAGGCGAAATTAAAGCTATATAGATGCTGTCTTCTCATATATACATACATCAATACGTACATAATACGTACCATATATATCGTCACAAAGATATCAGAGCGCAAAAGTGAAAAAAACAAAAGGAAACAAGAAAGATATCAATTCATTTTTTATCTTCTTACTTACAACTCCCCCTGTTCAGAACCTCTTGCGTACAAGGCCGCCCACGTGGATGCGGATGAGCGGCCGCTGCCCCCACCCCCGTATGTCATATCGACCCACTTGCACAAAGGCAAAGAGGCAAAGAAAGAGGAAGGGAACAGCCAAATATAAAAAAACAGGGGGAAGCAAACATAACAGATCCTAGATGACAAGTCCCACATGCAAGCACCGGCCCCTACATCACAGGCCAAACGACGGGACAATGACCAACCAGGATATCAATCAACACCCTTGCCTGCAAAAAAAATAATCCCAGATAACAAACAATTCGTGCTCGCCAGCATAGACACCCTATCATGGTTTCGACGCATGCTTCGCTTGTCTAAACTGCAATACTGGGACACCACCAACGGCAGAAAAAGACAATCCTAGATGACGATACCCACCTGAAAGCACAGCCCAGCTCCTGCAATTGGCCGAACAACGGGAACCAGCCAACTAGGATGCCAAAAGGATAAAAAAAGATCCCGGATGACAAGTCCCACATGAAAATATGCATATGTACGAACGAGATATAGATTAGGTGTGTCATTTGCTTTGTTTGACTGATTGGCCTTCCTCTTCCCTTGTCCTTTCTTTGACTGAATCCCTTTCTCTTTCTCTTGCCTCCGTGAGGTTTGGTTTCCTCCTTTTCTTTACCTCTTTGCCTTTTGGCTGCGTGCAAGTGAGTCCTTGTGACACACGGGGATAGGGGCAGCCGGCGCTCAACCTGTCATCCACGTGGCTGGCCTTGTACGTAAGAGGTGATGAACAGGCGGAGCTTTCCTTCTTTCTTTCCTTTTTTGTTTTGTCTTTTTTCGCCTTTGCGCTCCGATACACCGTGTGACGATATATTTATATTATGTACATATAAAGAGAGCAGCCGTTTGGATTTTTTATAGCGACTTTTTGAACCGAAGGTCTTTCCCATGCCAAGGCTCTACCATCTGAGCTCCGTGGTCTCACGGGGAAAGTTGTTTGGAGACGATGGGACTTGAACCGATAACTTCATTCAGCTTTGGCTAATTTCGTCTCTGGTTGTTGAGTTCAACACTGAACCTTCTGCAGGGGTCTCATCACATTGCCGACCCTACAACTCACTCCGCGGGTCACGGGCACAAGCCTGGGTAAGTTTCGCCAACTGCTTCTCACAAATATAGGATGCAGAACTCTCAGGTTTTTCATCATGACAACATACTTAGTTGTTACATAACTACATTATGTCATTACAGACTACTACGTACTTCTAACTTTACTATATAGTCAATCGACGATCCAATCGATGAATTCAACTAGTTATCTCCAACCCATTATAATTGCAACTAATCAAATATTCGATAAATTAACAGAGCAGTTAAACCAGCGTTACCATTAGAATAAATCAGTCGTAGCTCAAGAAAATTCATTACCATCGATCAATCAATCGAAGCTCAGGAAGCAACATAAGAGCTACAACCCAAGAGCTGCTAGAGACAGCACCTCGAAACCGGGTCCTCTGAAAACAGCCTGCCTGCCTGCACAACGACTGTTTCGTCGGACTTTCCTCGACTCTTCAGGAGGCTGAACCCTTGACAGTCCCCGAAATTCCCTGTCCAACGATCCTCCAAGCAAAAAATTAGTTTAATTGCCTCATTCCCCCCTCCTTCCGCGCCAACAAAGCCTCCCTCC